CCAGAGCATCAGAAATTTGCGGCTATGCATATACTACTGGATAGACTGACGCGTAGCGCTGCACGCTTCAAAGTTCAAAGTACTGTTGCAGGACTAGGTCTATACGCCACCGGTTTTAGCCATCAGCGAACAACTGTTTTGTCACACTGGGTAGTCGCATCACTGAGATTACTTAGCATATCAGCAAAGTCTATGTGACATTTTAGAGACCTAATCATCTATGGATACGGCGGCATATCAGCCTGCCAATGAAAGGTAGGGTTTACAACGCTGACATGAGGCCTGGCCAGTTCGCAGTGAGGATATTAAACATTCGACGGTGTTTGATCATGTGTGTTTGCGGAGCATTGCTCATATCTGTTGGGAACACCGAGCGAGCAGCGCAAAAGCCTGCCAGTAGGTTTCTGTAAGAAGTGTTCTGGTGCCTCGCTCGAGATTTTGCTGAATCTTAATCGGTTACGCTGGCTACGGCATATCCTCCGTATGTCCGTTGATCGGCTTCCTCGGCCTGCGTCATGGGCGGTGGCTGCACTAAGTTGGACAATACCGCTAGGTTGCGAGTCCAGGACGTTGCATAAAGGTATGAAGAAATTGACTGAGAAACTTCAGGCTGGCGCGTGCCGTCTTCATATATGGAGGCATCGGGATGATCCACACCAGTGGTTGGAGACTATATTCGACATCAAAAGGAAATTGCGAAGCAATTTCTTTTCGATAAATCTATTCAGGCACTTACAGTTATGAGCTACATAATCATTTGTGCAGTAGCTATTGCTAGCGATGCGACACAAAGTCGTGAATGCTACGGTCGGATGAACGGTGGCAACCACTACCATTGACCATTATGCCAGAAGTCAGATGATCAGGCTAGGACCACGGTAGGGTTAAACTTTGCATAAGTGCACGCTATTTACACAGTTCCGGCTTCAGTTGCTTGATCGCAGTTGCTTCTGCAGTGGCCAGTAGGCGCTTCCTAAATCCTTTTGTGCAGCGGTTTGCTGCTATATACACTATTTTGAAGGCCTCTTTTGTTTGTGTGTTATGTCCATTATCTACTAGGTGTTCTAGGGTGGAGCTGTGGACATTTCTGGTGGTACCACGCTGTAATGAGGCAGGACAGTGTTCCGCTATCCGCTTTGACAGACGTCTGGCCGTGTGTCCGAGGTATCTCGCACCACAGGTGCAAGTGAACTGGTATAGGACATAAGATTCGGACTGGGCCGGAATTTTGTCTTTTAGGCGGTTGGTGATGAGCAAAACGGTTTCGGCGTGAATGCGGACTCTGGCGGCCGGGTATGTTTGGTTTATCGCGGAAGTCAATTTCCTACTCAAGAGTTCGAACTGTATGTTGGGTACCCGTTGCTTTCCAATGTCTTGAGTATGAAATTCTTTTCCGCTTCCAGTGTCTCAGGGCTGCAAATCCTTGTAACCCTATAATACAGGCAACGTACCAAGTTTCGTGTGTACTTCATCGGTACGAAACTGTAGAAGTGCGTGTATTGACCTACCCAGGTTGGCTTTCGGAGAACCTTTCTTTCAAGCGATCCGTCCTCTCGTCATCGCAGTTAAACATACAAAAGGGGCAGTTTACTGTCCGCTTCTATCTCGCAAGTGAATTTCAACGATGGGTGCGCGTTGTTAAATTGGTTCAACCGATGAAAATGATCAGTATGAGAGTTGAAACAATAAACGTATCATCCATGTATCTTTTATAAAAATCAAGAGAGGTGATTAGGTGTCTGATAGGTCCGCGTTCGATTTTGGCTAGAAAAATGTCTGCAAGCAGCGGTCCTATGGGCGATCCCATTGCAACTCCGTCTATTTGTCTATAGTATTTTCCATCAAATAGAAACTGTCCTTTGAACGTGCAACGTAGAATCAGCTCTTTTACATTATGAGCCGGGATCGGAGGAACAATGTTGTTTTCTGTTAGGTATTCACAGATGAAATTGACCGTTTCTGACAATGGAACGTTCGTAAAGTGAGATTCTACATCAAAGGAGCGCATCAAATTTTCTTTCACGTTTAAGTTTTCTACCTGATGAACGAATGCAAATATGTCACTCACAGTGTTACCGGACAATTCTTTGCGTACTGATTCAAGAAGTTCCATAAGCCACTTGGCGACTGTGTGTGTAGCAGACCCAGACATATCAATCACTGGTCGTAGTGGGGTGTTAGGTTTGTGGACCTTTGGCACACCGTAGAGGCGAGGTGGATGCGAGCCACAAGGTGTTAATCGCTCAAGTAAGGAGCTATCGATGTAGTTACCGCGTTTTAGTTCTTTCAATGAGTTGGTTATTTTGATCTCCTCCAGTGTTGTTGTCCTTTTGTACTGAATCGAGCACGAATTTGCTGGGATGCTGCAAGATCGTGTGTATCTTGGAGATGTAGTCACACTTGTCCATTATTACCCAATCTGATCCGGTATCTGGCCTTGAGAGTATAATCTCTGGATTGGATGTCAATTCTTTTACCGCTTCTCGGTGTGCATTGGTGATTAATTTTGAGGTTTGTACTCTGCTGCTCCAATATCTCTGTGATAGATGCACCAAAGTGGTTCTGAAAGTGTCATGAGCTCGGGAGGACGTAGGTTTTAATTCGGTCAGTTGATGAATTAAACTCTCGAACTGTGTCTCCTACATGATTGTGATGCACAGAATTTTGGTCCCAATGACAGAGCCTCAAGTTGTAGTTTGTTGAGCTTCACTTTAGAGAGATTGTGAACGTATCGTTCTGGGTGCGTTGGAAATTTCGATTCAGGCACGTCAGGTGTCACTCTTTAGCAATTTCGTGTATTTTCTCTCTTCAGTCTTAGCCCGTCGGACATGTAATTTAGGCACAACTTCCCTTCGTTCTCGTTGAGTTCTTTCACGGATAATTGGTAATGTGTGCAAAGCCGTTCCAATTCAGGTACTCGTGACTGAGCACCTTCTAGAAGATTGTAAGCATGCCATTTTAAAGACTTGCTAGTTGGACGAATATAACATTTCTATAAAGTTTTCCAGTATGTCTTTGGATACTGGTTTCTTTGTAAACACTCCTTGATGAATCGAATCTGTCTTCGCTTCTGAAAGTCTAGCATTGAACCACAAACACTTGGTAAAGTCGGAAAACGCCTCAGGTTGTTTGCATTTCTTTAATTCATAAACTATGCCCATTCTTACGTCAAAAGGAAATTGCGGAGAAATTTCTTTTCGATAAACCCCTTCAGGCAATTACCATTATGAGCTTCATAATCATTTATGCGGTAGCTATTGCTAGCGATCCGACACAAAGTCATGGATGAACGATGGCAATCTATTATCTACCCATTAGATATATCGCAATCGCGTAGTGGCATTCTTGCACTCGGTTTCTTGCATCTTGCTTTTATTTTTCCATCCTGGATAGTTTAGCGCGCATCTCTCTTGATTCCATTTTCTTTATATTCCGTTTGCATTTAACTTCATTCTCTGACCGTTATTAATTTTTATTCAAGTATGTACTTTATGCACCCATGATGGGTGAATAATCAGTTGTTAATCTGGTGATCTGGGTCGTCAAATTTGGATCCACTGCACTTCGGTGCCCGGATCACAGTTGTTCAACTGAACTGAATAATAGAGGTAACACCTACCGCAGGAACTTTGCGTGATTTACTGTTTCCTCACTAATTAGGCGATTTCTATGAACAGAAGGTGTTTTGTCCCCAATACTTTACTGAAGTGTTACGTTTTGTTACTACCGCGGGTCTAAGGAGGTGTGCTATATGCATTACTATTATTACTGCTATTACTTTACTTTATCCCACTTTATTTTCTTTGTTAACCACGACGGTGCTTATCTCCTGAGGTTACGGATTGAAGCTTTCTAGCTACTAAGTACAGCCATGCAAGATGTGTTGCCGTAGACTCACTACCGTACTATAAATGTATCAGTTCAAAAGAACTGCATGATTTAACAGCTCTTGCGTCAAGGACGAAACTTTGCCACAATAAAAAAATCTACAAAAACCGCTTTGCATTCAAAATCTTCTGGAGTCATGAAAACAACTGGGTAGCTTGAGCGCCCATACTGTATACATATAAAAACAGTCCTAAAGATGAGTTAAAGTGATGATGGCTCACTTGTTTTTAGCCAAACTGGCACACAGTCATTGACAGGTGCCATATGACCATACAAAATACAACAACCACTGGGTTGTCATATAAACCTTAGCAGAGCTGAATTGCTTCTTTCCGACGTTAGAATGAACAAAACACGCTGAACTTTAGGTGCTGTCAAGTATGGTTCTATGACAACTACTGTCTAGATTCGACGGTCCTGGCCGATGGGATTGCGTAAATCTTGCTCCATCGTACTTTCACCGGGCTTCTATTTGGCACTTTTATTCTGCTCTCAAGCTGGCTTAGTTCTACGTTCAGCCCTCCATTTAGACTTTCATAGGCTGGCGCTACTTCTTGTGTAATGTCTTGTGAATTTCGTTGGAATGATCGTTTTGTTTGACTTTGAGTTGTGTTGAGTGCAATACTGACTCTTTCCTCTAGTTCAACTTTAGCCTTTTCATAGTTTTTAACTCTTTCTGTACATTCTAGTCCGTGTGCAGCTGTTGATGTTTACATGGTGTTTTTCATGGTGTTGCCCAGTGCTTTCCTTATCCTGAACATGTCTAAAGACATGCATCAGTACGTCTGTTTTCTTGCCGTGATTTTAACCCATGATTGCGCCCAAGTTGTGTTTCCTTTCGTTGACACTATTTTGCACAAGTGTTTTTTATTCTTTTTTGACGCATGTTTTGGTAGTTTGTTATAGGCGTTCTATTTAGCAGCTCGTGTTTCTTCCCTGCATTTTCATGGAGAAGCCCGCTTTTCGGATAATTGTAAACTTATTTGTTCGTTTTCTGTTCATTTTGTCAGGTTTAATTGCGTTGAACGTACCAGCACATTTTCAACTATTTGCTAATTCTAACAGGAGTTCAAAATAGTTTATCTTCTCTTACTACATCATTTATGTTCTAGGAAGGCAATTCCATTGCTCTTATTCCGAGTATGACCAAGTTCAACTATCTGCACTCGGTTTGTGTTCGAAACATTTCCAAAACGATGGATACCTTCGAATCGTTGGAGGTAAGTTTCGAACATCGCCTGTCAGTGTTCCGCAACTCATCGCAGAATTGCATTTTCTCAGCACCTAACCTTTTGAAAACATGGTGACCGCTCTGGCTGTCTTATTCTCGACTCACGCAGTGTCGATGTATGTAATCTCATCTCGATTTCTTCTATCCATAACTCAGTAGAATTCAGCTTGAAGACCTATACGCATTCGTCATCACTACATATTAGCTGAAGGTGGGAAACACTTCAGCTAACTGTGCCGCAATACAGAAGATATATGAGTGTGACACAAACATTACAGAATACAGAAACTAACCAACCCAGCAATATAATGCTGAGTGTTATATTATCCATGCAGTGTGAGATCGTCTTTGGAGAGGGAAGCTAAGCGGGAAGGGGAGGGGTGCGACAAAGAAACTCACAACAGAAACGCCACTGAGTTTGGCTTTTCGCCATGTCAGCTGGTGTATCCAACTAAGCGTGTTCATCGTCCTTGGGACCCTAGTTTTGCAGTCGGAAGACACCAACCGACGCCAAGTTCGAAGTGAGGTACTTCATTACTCTTGACCAATTCATCGCTTGGCCTTCTCCCTTCATATTCCATCCAGACCCAGGTCGCGCAAACATCGCACGTCGCGGGAGTCGGTGTGGTGGCATGTGCAGCACGTTGCCTGGCCATCGGAGCCTGGTGCGTGACATAACGGTGCTGAGCGGTTCACTCGCTCCTCCTGCACTGAATGCGCGACGTCGAACGTACTCATCGCTCATGCGGTGTTTCCACCAAACATGGGCTAAGATGCGAAGGCGGCGATGATCGAATGTGACTAGCCTCTTTAGGTATGTCAGTCTGACAGACCAGGTTTCGCAACTGTACCGGAGAGTTGAATGCACGTCTGCATTGTAAATTCTGCCCTTGAGGGCGAGAGTGATGTCTCGCCGACGCCACAGGTGGCGGAGAATGGCGAAATGATCTCGAGCTTTTGCTATACGATTTGTGAACGTATTTTTTTCACCACTGCCGCTAGTATAGCAGCCAGGGTACTTGAACTTCTGGACGACTTCTTGCTGGTTCCCACCAAGTGTCAGCTCATGTTTGAGTCCTTGTTAGTCTTGGAGAAGGATTTTGCATTTCGCGGGTGCAAGGCATAGCTTGAAACGACTGGCAGCCACTGCTTATCTGCCCAGTACATCTTAGCACGTTTGAAATCTGTTACAGACAGGGTCAATGTCCTCGGCATACTCAAAGTCAATTACTCGTTCACCTGTAAGTAGCCCCATATTTTCTAGGTCATGTCCAGCCAAGGCTGTTTCCATGACTTCTTCGATGGTGCAGTGTAGGAGGAAAGGTGACAGCGAGTAATCTTGTGTAATACTGCTGGTAATATTAAAGAGCAGCGACGGTTTGTTATATTCTCATTCTGCGCGTACTGTGGGCACATCTTTCTTGTGCGAGCAGTCCCGAAGGGCACATCGATCCACTGTATCGAAAGCACCTTGCCAATAGATATAGCGGTGTTCTTACAATTGGACTGCGGTGAAGATGTGATCAATGCAGCCAAAATTTCGATGAAACCTGGCTTACTCCTCACGAATCTGACATACCTGTGTCAGTCAGTCTGTGGAGCACAACTGAGGCAAGCAAATTAGTGGTAATTGAGATCAGACTGATCCCTCTGTGATTGTCGCCATCCGAACCTGAACTGCCCTTGAAAATTGGAACTGGAGCGGCTCCAGTCTACTGGGACAGTTTCCTGATCCCACAAATTCTTCCACAAGAACACGTCCCTGACTTTGTAGGGAGTTGGTGGAAGTCTATATGCCCCTGCGGCTTTGTTCAATTTCAGCAGTCTGATTTCACGTTCAACTTCCGCGCGTGAAGCCGGACTTAAGTGGACGGCTAAATGAGGAGGGCGATCAATGGCCGATAAAGCAGATGGCAGCTCTGGTTGCCTCAGCTGCTTTTCAAAGTGTTCGGCTCAATGCATCACAAGTTTTGACAAGTTTTGGATTAGCTGTCCACTCTCGTCGCATAAAGTATCACCAATGCCAGGTATCATACTGCCTGTTTCGCGTATCAGACGGAACAACTTCCGATGGTTACTTAGGCCAGCGGCTCTCTTTATTACTGATAGACCATCAGAGCACTAGGCTTCGCGGTCTCTATCTAGTCTAGTAAGCAGTTTTTCCCGGAGATTTTTGCGGGTCTCGGTGTGTTCGCTTCCAGTCGGAATTTGTCGGCGAGCGTCGAACTGCTCCGAAGGCTTCGTAGAGACCCAATATCCAAGTTAGAAATTTAATTTGCCACTTGAAAACATGCCTGCTGATAGCAACTTTTGGCGAATATGCAACCAGTAATCTACAACTGTGTTCTGTGTGCGCTGACTCAGCTCGGATGCCAACGTACTTTGATATGCATTCAGAACATCTAGTTTCGACACTTGATTCGTACATATGAACTCACAGCACCATTGCGAACGTCCGCCAAAACGTATCCGCAGGTCGGCACATACCAGTACGTGGTCGGAGTCCACGCTCGTGCTCCATATCGAGCGACAAGTTTGGACGCAGCCTGCCCAATGGTAAATGATCGCGTTGTGATTGATTTGCGTCTGTAACTGGTCCGAAGCTGGTGGGCGCCAAGTCACTCTTCTGGGGTTGATGTCTCTACATTTAGTGTTCGTGAGAAACAGAGGAGCATCTTCACACATGTGTAGCAGCCGCTCACCGTAAACATTACGGGGACCTACACTGTGTTAGCCACCCAGATAAAGCTCATCAGTGGATAATTCTCCAACTTGGACTTTCAATTCAATAGCACACCACAGTATCTGCACTTTCCCTGAGACGAAGTAGTTCGTTCATTTCCTCTTTCACTGACATAAACCGCAATGACAAACAGGCACCGTTTGTCTGCGCGCGACTTCGAGGCTTTGAACAAGTAAGCCGATCTGACGGCGCACATCCGGCTGCTGACTGGGGTCCAATCGACTAGAGCAAGTTTGTCGGGGGACTGAGAACATTGTCCACACCGGATTGACCGGTATTTGGGGACGCGTCATCTCCGGACAAGTGCATTGGGCTAGTGCCTCCAATGTCCCATGTGGGAGATCGCACGGCAGGCACAGAACTCGAGTCTTGCACCTAAACGCATTATCCTTTTCCTCTCGAAGCTCACTTGTCATTTGCTCCATCTCAAGGTTGATCCACTGGTATTGAATAACCGTAAATCTTTCCTTGTCACTATCTTTGTTGCTTCCGCAATTACCACTGGATTGGAATATGCCGATCGTAACTAGGCTTACTTAGGAAACCACCAACATTCGAAAAGCCACGGCCCTCTTTGTGTCCTAAATGCTGAGTTGACTCTAGGATCCTCCTGAATTTACTTTCTGTCTCACTGGGTTTTGTTGAAATAAATTTCGTTTAAACCATTCGTCTTCCTTCACTTTTAATCTGTGCGCTGGTGGATTGTCTGCCTAGTGCTGAATATACCTACGCCTTATTGCCATGAGACTAGTAAACGTCGTACCTTCTTGGTACTTGGACCTTATGTAGTATTTGTTTGTGTTTGCTCCGTACAGGAAGTTAGCTTCGGGAGTAATACCGCTACAACGGCACTATTACATCAGAGTACACATTCCCCTTTATGGGGACAGTTAGGGGAACTGGATCTCATACTGATGCCGCAATCGTGACTTTGGCATTAGGATTTCGCAAAGAGTAGCCAACATTGTTCTTACTTCGGAGTCGTGGGGTCCGACCATCGGTTTCAACCAACTCCTAAATATGTGCTTTATACATCAGAGTAGCAAAAATAGCGTCTGAACGTTATATTTCTCAATTATTGCTCATTGCACTGGGCCGGTTACGAACTGTCTCCAATACAAATGGCGCGTTTAGCAGACTTCAGTCCTCGCAGACCATTAGCCAAGACTAGTTCGGCCTCAAGAACTTTGCAGTTTCCCCATCCACTTCAAACGGCCACCAAAATCCAGGTTTAACGATAGACAAATTTTAGGGACGCAGTCGCGTTTCAATAATATTGCCTACATTAAGTGCAAGGCCATCACACGCTCTGAGTCAACTCTGAGTATACGTATAAAAGTAGTGCATAAGTTCCGATCACTTTTCAGACGAAACTGCACTTGTGTATTTTTCGCTACACCTGGCATACTCCCATTGATTCCCATCCTTTAAACCTGGATTTTTTCTCTTCATATACCACCATTTCGGATGACTGTTTCATGGTTCGTATTACATGGGATGCACAACCCAATGTTTCTTCAGGAATGAGTGGAATGAAGCCCACTTGTACTGTACGCATTGCGGTGTTACAACTCAGGATCGTGTTCTACTTCGGTATCCTTTGTCAGTGATCTCTATGGATAATCTGAACACCAGTTCTACTCCAGTGCCCTGCTAGGTACCCGTCTTTGGTTAACATCAGCCTCACACTTGAGAGTGAAATTTATGCGGCACATTGCCTCGGGTAGTGTAAGTTTACAGTCCATCAAGCTCATTGTCACTTGAGAATCCAATTTCTTCACCAACCCATTTCTATAACTTTTTTCATTTACTTCTGGTTGTCGTTTTCAGCTCGACATTCTCACTGACCTATCACATCGCAAACCTATTCATGTCAGTTCGGTTCCTGTTCTATTTCTACTGTACATTAGTTCTCATATTTTTGGTCCCGGAAATCGTTCTACCGAACTGGTTTGCGAGGATTTTGCGGATCAATCAAGTCGGACTCGACGACTAACCTCAAAAAGCCATTGTCACAGATTTTAAACAATTGCTCTATCCATGGGCATTCTCGTGTCTGCACACGACTTCGCCGTATATCCCGGCGTCCCGTGCTTTGCATTTAAATGCTATCTCCCACTGGCATTCCCGGCTCGCTCTGCTCTTTGACAGGCACCTTTCTTTCGACTATCCTAATTGCTTGGAGAATCCTCACTTTGTTGTCATTTATCTGCTCCTGCTGCTATTGCATGGATTATAGTTTTGCA